TTGCGATAACAAGGTCATCCACGTAACAATTAATCTAGTTGTACAAAAACAAGTTGACGAAAATGGTTGACAAAACAAGTGTTGGCAAAACTTGGCCTTTGATTTGAAATGATTTTAAAAAGAGTTTTTTAAATGATTGGTGTAAATGTCGTTTTGTAAACCAACTTTGTCAACTAATTTTGTACAAGTAGCATGACTCTCCACGTAAACCACAAAATATCATATAATGGAACTATTTCAATAGATAAACAAGGATGAATCAGTTTTAAATTTTGAAAACCAAGCTTAATCAAGGCACATTTTAGAGTCGAGTACCACACTCGAGAAGCCTGTTTGTGATCATAAATGGCATTGCTCAATCTACAAATGTGATCGGGGTTGGACGTATCCTTAAATCCTGGAGGCTGAACCATATACACATTCCCAGTCAACTCACCTTGCAAAAATGTATTATTCACATCAAGATATCTTAATAACCACCCTTATATCATAGCAATTGTCAAAATAGTTCTGATAGTAGCTAGTTTCACAAGTCGAGAATTAAATTGATCACTAGACCTATCCACCTTTCTCTTATCCTGAAACATCTATTGGATTACATTCTTTAGAAAATGGAACGAACTCTAATATAAAATTCCTCATGATGGAAGTGAGCTCATCCGACATAGCAAAGCTCCATTGGGGGGATCACAACATGGTTGACTTACACAATTGGTGCCTTGGTGGGTTGGAAAGGATGTTTTGTGATTGAACTAAATTGTTTGGGTTTATATATATGGTTTTGGGATCGAGTAACTATTACGTGAGTTCTTCATGGTGGGGCAGGGATAGCTTTATCTAGATAGGAGTGCGAGTGATCAATGGGATGAGGATAAGAAAAAGCGGTGCAGGTGATAAACCTGATAGATGACCTTACGGTGGTGCTGGTTAAATTAGTATAGGGTGTATGTGAGGTAGATTGACTTAAAAAGGAAGGCGAGAGTTACCCAAAGGTGATGTGGAAGCAATATCAACATAGTCTGAAGCTATGACACGGTAACGAATGTGATGCAATCCGAATAGATGAGTGGCACTTACTCTGTGTGATTTGCAATTAGATTGGGCTTTGGCTCTCATCAAATAGAACATGTCAAGAGATATACAAGCTGTTAGATTTAAGATTGAGACACTTGTATACATTTTAGGTTTGAGAATAGCCAACGAATAAGCACAGAATGAATTTTAACTGAAGTTTATGGGTGTCGTAAGGCCTAGTGAATAGAAAGTTGGCCAAGTAAGATTTCATAGAGAGATTTGTTCCTTAACAAGGGTGTGGGTCGATGATTTATAAGATAGGTGATAGTATTGATAGATATCAATTTTTTGCAGATGCTAGGAACTCAAGGTTCTTTATCCAAATGGGAAGTATGATGGGTGTTTGAAATTCCGAAGAGCCAACACGGGTGACATACAAACTTGATTCATCATCAATTACGAACTCATATGTTTAATAATATTCAAAATGGATGGACAAATTTGCTAAATCATCAGTAATGTTGTGAGATGCCCCAGAATCAATGAGCCATTTATTTTCTTTAGTTGAGAAATGGAGGAACAATTCACGGTGATATCGAAAGAATGTAATGGTGGACATTTTTTTGAGCAGTAATCACAATAGATTACGAAACTGGCATTTCGACTGATAATGGCTCTTGCCTGAATTAAATCGACAGGTGGAGTTTTGGGGCCTCCTATTGTCACGATGTTGTTAGGGGTGAGATAGGCTGAAGACTCTAAAGATCCATTGGCCTTATAAGACCCACATTGCTAGGGGCTTTCACTTCTAGTTGCATCATGCAAATTAGAGTATCAATAGGTGGAATTGGCTGTGGCAACTAGGTGCTGAACGATTGCTTCAAGGTGACAAAACTAGCTTTCATGGTTAACAAGGAGATTATAGCGTTCTTCAAAGGTCAGCGAGTTCGCTCGAGCACGAATAGAGATGAAAATCTCCTGAAATCGAGACCAAACTGTGAAGAATGTAAAAGCTAAGATCATCACTATATACGGGATGATCAATGAGGGAAATATCATCTGCAAGGCCTTTCAACGTATGTAGATAATCGGGTATGGAATGATTGTCCCGATGAATCAAGGTAAGTTTCTCATTTAGTTACATCGATTAGGTTCATGATTTACTCGCATACATGGTATTTAATTTCTTCCATGCCTCTTGGGACCTTTGGTAGCAAAGGTAAGGAAGGTAATGGCCATAGTGGTAGAGGCCAGAACAGCATCAAGGATGAGCTTATCTTGACGAACCTAGTGTGTCTTTTGGAGAGTAAAAGCAGTGGAACCATTAGGAATGGGGCGTGGATGGTCTCCGGTGATATAGTCAAGGAGGTCATACTGAATAAAAAGGGCTTCAAATTGGGCACGCCATTGTGGAAAAGGGTGTTAGCTTTTCATTAATTTGAGCAGAAATGCTGAGGACAATTAAGTGTTTATCAGTTGGAGAGGGTGGCTATGATTGGGGAGGAATCAGGGGTGTTGATGGGGTGGGAAAAAATAGTTCCAAATTGGTTGCTCGTTAGGGACTATCCATGATAGGGATCACAATCAAACTCGGACTGAAGCTTGGTGATGACATGAAAGGATTCATACACTGTTATAGGTCATTGGTAGCCCTAATCTCATGCAAAAATAGCCATTCTTGAAATGCAATGGCCTCACCATCAGTAGCTGCAGAAACCCTGATATCCTCTTGGATTGGATGCCCGCCACCACCCAATTCTTGACTTGCATCACATCCCATAAATTAACAACGCCCTAGTGTTTTTGAACCTCAACGACAATATTAAACTTCAATCTCCTGCTATGACGTGGTTCCAATCTAGTTACTTGATAGTTTGAATCTAGTTTTTGGTTCATCGTACCTTTCATTCATTTTCCAACAAGACATTAATTGAACCTTATATTGCATGCACATCTCATAGGCTTGATCCATGTATTACTATGCTATGTTTACCCACACACTATCCATAGGATGCATGATGCATCAGAATGGCCCCAAATCGGCTTCATTGTAGCCCTTAAATAGTTCATCGCATATTCTTTACGTCTCACTCACTCCAAAATTTTCAAATATTTCTATACGTACTTAAATGCATCACACTAAAATAGCATGTGGCATGCTCCAATTCTATCCCACTTCCCATTTAGCATTGCTAATATGAGCGCATCATTGTATGTGCTGCAAAAATAGATTCCAATCTTAGGAGGAGTTGAAACTTTTCGCCATTTATTTACCAAGAGTTTAAGCTAATTCTGCTAGTGAACTCATCAGACATCTAGTTTTCTATCATTTGTTCACGCTTTTGTCTAGGCATTTGCCTCTAGGTTTCATATTAACTTATCAGGTCTGTCTGTATTGCTGTATGAGGTGGATAGAATTGCTTCACAATCAATAGTGAAAGATATTATAACTTCAGAGGGTCAACGAGAGTAACCATATCGAGATCTTAATACCATTATGAAGTCCTCAAGGATTAATATGCTTAAACATAGTCTTATATATGAAATATTCATCCAGAGTATCTAAGTGAATACTCTGAAGTGGTAAAAAAATATGCAAACTCAAAATGAGCTAAAAGCACTTATGAGGGAGAAATATCATATGCGACCTTAATCACATGATGCGAGCCAATATACTTAAGCAAAATCTTAAGGATTAAGCTAGTGGGTGAATGTGAAAAGAAAACAAAATTAGTTAGAAGTCACTTAACCAACAACTACCACATCTCGCCTATTAAAAATACTCATTTAGCTCCAACGACTAAATATAAATCTATAAATAGGCATGCTTGGGATGAAGAATGATATGTTGAATTTGAAATAGTTTTTCTCAAATATTCATTTCTCTTCTTACTCCCTATTGAATAGTAGAATAGTAAGTTTATGAGCAAAAAATATTTGATAGTTGAGAGTAATTTGTTTGATCATCATTTAGAGGTAAACACATGGATATCTAGGAGTACTTTAAGGGAATTATAGTTTAATCTCATGTAAATATTGTTTGTTTAGGTGAAACTCTCGATGTTATAGATGATCTTGGGTAAAAAAGAATGAAATCGAGATAAAATGAGTTATATTTACTTAATTTGGAGATGAGGACCAATTGGATATGAATTGGAAATCAAGGATTTAATTGCAAATTACTTGAACTTTAGCCAATTAAAAGAAGAAGACCAGGGACTGAATTGATCAAGGCTAAAAGTAGAAGGCATTTGATCGCAATGCCCATTTAAAAGGAACTGATGCTAAGTGATGTCCACTGTGCTATAGCATGGCGCAAATTTTTCTTCAGGGCTTTTCACACGAGCATAAGAATCTGCTTTTACACACTGGAATAAGCTAGAGGTAAGCTACTTTAACTTATAGTATAAGTTGAACTAGTAGCTTTCGCGATTTAACCTACCTCAAGCTTATACTTTCAACATTCTATTGTAATCTATTGTGGAGAACAAATCTAGCAAACAATTGAAGGCAATTAACATCAAGAAATTTAAGATTCGAGGCTTGGAATTGAAGACTCGAGAAATTGATTTTACATCTTTATCTTGTATTTTATGAATTTCCAAACTTCTTGCAGTAATTTTATTATGATTATGCTAGGATAAATTATTTAATGTCGGGATGAAGGTGAAACTTATTGCTTGATTATTTTTAATTCAAAATTAGTTATTTAGTTCATTTCTGTTCTTGATTGATACTTCATGCTTAATTTATTATTTAAATGTTTAATTACCATATAGATTATTAGTTGCTTGATTTGTTAATGAGAGGTAATTGTGTAGATGAATGGATTATTTTTAATATGAATTCAATACAGGGATATTCTCGTGTCATTCTTAGAAATAGGTTTGGTTACTTCACATTGGGAGATAGAGTTAAATATAATTGAAGTAACGGTTGTCAATGATACACAAATTACACTAGATAACGTGGATAGAGATTTGAAATAAGATAATAATAGGTGGTTTCAGAATTCCAACACATCATTCTCACATATAGTTTTCCGATTATCTCTATTATAAATACATATTCATATAGTGAGAAACAATTATAAATAATACTTGTGGACCTGTCCAACAACCTTTACACATCCCATGCTAATAGGTTAAAAAGATAGGTGGTCCAAGAGTTATTTATTTTCCATTATTAAAAAGATGGACACAAGTGCATCATTATTCTGATTAAAGCTAGCTACCATATTACTTTTACTGGGAATAGTACTCCCTAAGTAGTCTACAGAAGCATAGATAGTTAACAATTAGTGGGAATGGACACTCCACAAGCACGAGCAACCTTCTTGGCGTTGGGAGATTTAACATACCCTCCTACGCTTGGGTCTTTGAGGTACTCGCAAAAGCAAGGCTGCTGTTGCTTTAAATTAGTGCAGCACTCTACAGAAGGTGGAGTACCGGACGCGATGGCAGATGCGCAAGGTTGCAGTTCACTAATAACACATCCTTCTGCCGCGAAAAAAAGTGGCTCGGCTACGGCTAGTAGAAGAACAACGTACAGTGCAATACCTGATGTCTTCACCTTTAAAAGGAAGAGATTGTCGGAGATGCTTGATGCGTTGCTGGGGCTTGGTCTCAATTTATAGAGGAGAAAAAGCCTAAACATTTAAATTAGAATGTTAATAAGCTAAAGTTTGGCTGCCAACCCTCCCACTCCCTAAACCCTAAACTAGACTGTTTAAAAAGACTTCTAGAATGCTAATGTTTTCGTTTAAAACGTGTCTCTAAATTGAAAGGAAACATTTTGGAAACTCAAAAAAATGTTTTTTTAATTTGACTTTTAATAAAATTAAGAAACTTTGAAAAAACTCTGGAATACCTTTCAAAAAGTCCACCATAATATTTTAAAAAATTATGATTAAGAATTACACTTGATCCGCGATCTTTGTTGTGGGTTTTCAATTAAAAATTAACATAATTATATTTTTCTAAGTAAAAGTTAACTTAATTTCAGGATTAACTTTAATAATACTTATTAACTGGCAATTAGAGATTAAATTATGTTAATATAATTTTTCAAAAATTTTCTAACGATCCAACTGTTTGCCTAAGTGTTAATTATCTTTAATTCATATCCATTAGAAAAATTAATTTTCTTATTTACTCTTTATTTTTGTTAATAACTTTGAAACTGTGGAAAATGATATTCACTCATATGAAATTAAAAATAAAAATAAAAGTTGAATAGATTAATCAACTAAATAGCAATTGTAACTTCTTGAATATCATTGCTAAGGAACCTCAGTTTAATGCAAGGCCAAAATGCGAGTTCTTTTTAATTTTTAATTTTTCATGAGACAAATGTATTCTTTTCCTAGAGATATGCCAACTAAATATCGATTCCAAGGAACCTTGACACTACTTTGTTATAACAATTTTTTATTTGGTTAAACATCCTTTTTTACCAGCGATCTTAAATAAATATTTATTTGTCAGGAGAATTTTATTTTATTTTTCTGTTTTTCTTATTATTATTTTTCCTGTTTTCATTCTCCTTTCTTTTATTGTTGTCTTTGTCTTCTCCTCCTCCTCCAAAGAAATAGAGGTGATGAACTAATATCCTTTAAATGTACATTTCACATGATAGGTAACGTATTTTTAACAGTTTCATCGAAAACCTCCCCATAAATCAAAATTTTAGGATTTAAAAATTATGAAAATTCGAATGTGAAGGGTTTATAATTTGGGAACCCAGGCCAAAATTTTCCTAACAATATAAACTTTTCTTGAGCTTAAATAAAGTAACTCATATTTAGCATATCTTTATCTTATACTTGTCTAGAATCGGTTAAATCGGATCTGTTTAATCCTCACTCTGTAAAAGATCATTTCCAAATTACCCATGAAGTTTCAGACCAATGATCAATTACGTCGGTTGTAATTTTTAGGTCGACCTCTTCGTTAAGTTTACCAATTGCACTTGTATCTAGCTGTTGTAGTTTGATCCAAATCTAGTGAGTATTGGACTTTTAGCTAAAGTGGTCTTAAAGAACTCAAAATTATGAATCGGAAAGAAAAATCGCCGCATTTTTGCTAGCCTATTGCTTGAGTAGTAGGCGAACATTAGGAGCAGAGATGTGTTGTCTGCCTGTCGCCAACCTCTAACTCAAGTGACAGGACGATTGCTTGCCTGGCACTAGATGTCGCTCAAGCGACAGCGCTGTCCGGGATTTTCTCTTTATGTCGATTTCACGAGTATTTTGATATAGTTTCTATTTTTTGTTTACTTCTGGTGATTTGACAGGTTACTTCTAGGGATTTGACATGTCCTCTATAAATAATAAACTCTTCATTCAATTTAAGAATTGTTGAGATTGCTGTAACAATATTATTTTCTCCATTGATTGTCAGATAAAATACTCGGTACCTCTGCCAATCTATTTCTTGTTTTCAATCCTATTTTCTGTGTGCGATCATATACTTCATATTGTATCATATTCGCCTCCCCATTTCGTAACAAGTGGTATCCAAGCTATTCTAGTAACTTGTTTATGTCTAACAATTGTATCAAAACAAGTTGTGATTTTGTTTGAGATTTCGTGTTATCGATGATAGCCCTGAAGTATAAAATTTCGCTTTTGGATTGCAATACTCGATTGTCATTATGGCGAGTGAAGATGCTAGTTGTATTGGTGCTGATGGATTTGAATGGTGCGTTGTTTGGATTTGACAAGATGCCCACAATGTAGAGAACAAAGGAGAAATAATGGAAGCATTGGAATACACTTTTACAGATTTATCTTCATCTCTCTAACAATATTCTGAAAGATGTTTTGAAAGAGAAGACAGAAGCTTTGTCATGGTTGAAGCTGGTGTAATTATGCATGACTAAAAGTCTGACAAGTAAATTGCATCTGAAGCAAATGTTGTATTCTCATCGTATGGTAAAAGGATGGATCTTTGGAAAATCATCTGGCTATGTTCAAGTTGATCGTCGCTAATTTGGAGACATTAGAGGTAAAGTATGATGAAGAAGATTTGGCCTTAATCGTGTTGTGTTGCTGCCTGCTTTATTTAGGGACACAATTATGCATAATCGTGATGCCCTCACCATTAAAGACGTGTATGATGCCCATTTCTCGGAGGAAAAGATGAAACATCTGGTTGGATCAGAGTCCAAAGATGAAAAAGGTCTTGTAGTTCATGATGATTAGCGAAGGGATAAGCCGAGGTCGAGTTTTAGGATTCAGGTTTTTTTTATTGCATGAAGAAATGATACTTCAAGAAAGATTGCGAGAAGTTGCGGACCAAGGGTAATTCACAAGTTGATCGTCGCTAATTTGGAGACATTAGAGGTAAAGTATGATGAAGAAGATTTGGCCTTAATCGTGTTGTGTTGCTGCCTGCTTTATTTAGGGACACAATTATGCATAATCGTGATGCCCTCACCATTAAAGACGTGTATGATGCCCATTTCTCGGAGGAAAAGATGAAACATCTGGTTGGATCAGAGTCCAAAGATGAAGAAGGTCTTGTAGTTCATGATGATTAGCGAAGGGATAAGCCGAGGTCGAGTTTTAGGATTCAGGTTTTTTTTATTGCATGAAGAAATGATACTTCAAGAAAGATTGCGAGAAGTTGCGGACCAAGGGTAATTCGACGGCAAATTATGGGAAGCAATCAAACACTTTGGATGAGGCCAACATAGCTTAGGACTATTTTCAATGATGGAAATCTCTTTACGATTTCTAACATGGAATCCAAACCCGATGAGGAGTGGATCTTTGATACAGCTTATATGTTCATTTGTGTCCCAATCAGTGTTTGTTTGAAACATATAAAATGGTGATGCAAGGTGTCCTTATCATGGGTAACAACGAATCTAGTCAGGTAACTAGTAGTGGGAGAGTTAGATTGAAGCTGGTAGATTGAACAAGTAGAACACTTGATCACATTTGACATATTCTAGTTTTGAAGACGAATCTCATTTTGTTGAGTACTTTTGATTTGAAGGAGTACATGTTCTCTAGCGCAGATTGAGTCTTGAAGCTCTGGAAGGGTATCCGTGTTGTACTAGAAGGGCGGAAGAGGTCCTGGTCATACATTTTGCAAGGTCGAACAGAATTGGAGAAGAAAAGTCAACACATGTTTAGTGTCGTGGTGGATATTCAATTTGGTATAGTACCTTTGGGATTTGGCTCTAGGTCTATATTGAAGAATACTACTAAGATGGGTTTAGAGGATATAGATAATTTCGCTTTGCCACCATTATCAGCGGTTCCATCGTATTCAACTACTAGGAATAGACACATTGGAGATAGGTACGAGAATGCCAATTTTGTTGCAAATGCTTTTGGGATTTTTGAAGGCGTCAAAACTAGCAAAGAGTTTACAGTGAAAGCATTGAGATTTGATTCTACTATAGGGTATGTTTCAATCCTGTTTGGTAATTTCTAGTTCTTTGTGAATTTTTTTGAACCCGATGTTTGGGTTCGTGTATCTGTATTGGATAATGTGGAAGAGAAAGAGTATTTTTTGTGTGATTGGAGAAGTTTGGTTCAAGTTGAAAAGTTCAATTGTTTCATCTCGGTCAAACTTTTTTTTTCAGGTGGAGAAATTTTGGAACTTCATTCATTGCATCGAAATTTGGTTCAAGGTGAAATTTTGTTGCAGTTTGATGTAAATCTTTTGAATATTGGAGTTTTAGTTGAAGTGATATTAAAGAGATCAAAATTTTGGACTGGAAAGAAAAGTTGCAGCATTTTCGCTAGCCTATCGCTTGAGTAGTAAGCGATCTTTGGGAGTAGAGAGCTGTTGTCCGCTTGTCGCCAAGCTCTCGCTTGAGCGACAGGACGATCACTCGCTTGGCACTAGAAGCCGCTCAAGTGACAGTGTTGTTCGGTATTTTCTCTTTATGTCAATTTCACACGTATTTTGACCTAGTTTTTTTTTTTGTTTTTTTTTTTTTTTTTTTTTTTTTTTTTTTTTTTTTTGCCATGAACAAATAAAAAATTGCCGAGTATATATCTGTAAAAATTCTATACACCTAGCATTGTTCAAAACAAGAGGGCCATATAAAGAGTGTTTGTACTATTGAAAAGTGTACTAAACAATAGAGGCATCAAGAATAAGGGAGAAAGAGATAGTAAATAGGATATTTTTTTGCTTTTTTTTTTTTTTTTTTTTTTTTTTTTTTTTTTTGCCATGAACAAATAAAAAATTGCCGAGTATATATCTGTAAAAATTCTATACACCTAGCATTGTTCAAAACAAGAGGGCCATATAAAGAGTGTTTGTACTATTGAAAAGTGTACTAAACAATAGAGGCATCAAGAATAAGGGAGAAAGAGATAGTAAATAGGATATTTTTTTGCCTATTTCTCGAACTATCTATTGTTTGTGGGACATGACATGAGCAATGTTCTAAAAAGTATAAAGAATGATTAGATTACAATATTAAACTTTACGTATAGGCGTGGGACATGAGAATGTTCTTGGTTTTACATAAAATTTTTAGGTAAATTCTTGTGTTGTCATTTGTCTTATTTTTTTGCTGTTTTTAGTTCTCAGTTATTGTTGAAATTTTTTGCAAGAGGATCCTTGAGGGAGCATTGGAGTGAAACATGCCCAGATTCCATATAAGTGCATGGATTTTTTCTATCTGTCAACTAACACCTAGGTGTACAGATAG